TACCACAGAGGGGAGGTTAATGGGGTAGGGTGGGGTGTGGGGATAAAGGCCCAGCAATGCCCATTAGCTCCTTTTTGTACTTACTGCATCTTTTAAAAATGAAATTTTTCAGACTACTAAATTCCCCATGAAACATTTTGATATTATAATACTGAATTTCAAATTCCCAGGTACTGCAATAATTTATCCCTGTTATTACATGTTGCAGTATAATTTATGACACAAATTGTTTATCCCTTTAATATTTTGCTATTATTCTTTTATTAAAATGGCCAATGTTTTTAAAGGCAATATTACAGAAATACAGTTCAAAGTATATTGGCTTATTTTAACCAATCAGTAACATCCAAATGCTTAATTTAAGATCATCAAGGGGCCACATAGGTAATTGAATAGAAAGAATACATAACAAAAAAATACTGCTCTGGAGTTATAAGTTTCACTAATTTTTAAAATGCTAGTAACAGTGTTCTTGATTAGAAATGGAAATACTGCTTAACTCACAAGTTTAAATTCTGAGGCTACATTAGGGATCGGCTATTAAATTTACTATTCATTACTCAACCACTTAACATATTGTCATCATGTTCACTTATTAATACATGTAAAGAGAGAATTATTTTCTTAGAGCAATAACAAAGACACCTGCATTCACAGTATAAACTTGGGCTTACCACATTATACAAAATGTCATCAACTCAAACTTTAAGTGTTAATGACCAGGTAGTAATTTTGTCTCTGAGTCACTCTGCCAATCTGCTCTGCAATACTTTAAAGAGTTCATGATCTGTATATGCCTGTATTTCCCAAGAGTCTTTAAAATTTAAATTCCCATGCAGCCTTTTAAGAAAGATCATTTCTCATATCCTAAGAAAAGCATTTTCCCAGGAGCACAAGTCAAATAGCAAAATAAAATTGACTAAATAATTGGTCTGCCTCTTCTTAGAAAAGCTTTCACAGGCACACATTGCAGGAGAAAAATAACTTTTTCCAGAGCCGACGAGGAAGTAAAATAAAGAAAGCTTACTGGGCGAGAGCCCTGATTATAAATAAAAATGTTAAAGTGCTAGGCTCACAAACTCTCTTAATCATACATAAATCTGTAAGAGAAAAAAATCCATGTACCAGACCTGTCGCTCAGTTTTAACAGATATTAACATATTTTCATATTTGCTTCAGTTCTTCAAAATAGAAGAAAAACTTCTAGAGATCTGAAGGAGCCTCATACAAAACTTTCTTGGCCAGAGTTAATATTCCTTATTTCTGTTTGTTCTTATATTTTATGTACTTTCATTAGATACATGTATATCAACAAGCAATGTATCATGTATTACTTTAAAGCTCTATATAAGTACATCACACTATATCTTTTTTCCACTCAATATTATGTACATGCGATGTATCCATGTTGATGAACACAGATCTAGTTCATTCATTCTTACTAGGGGATAGTATTCCATTGTATAAATAAACCATAGTTTATACATTTCCCTACTGAAGTACAGCTGAATTGTTCTACTTTATTGCCATTTTAAGAGCTGCTATAATCATCTTTGCTACATGTTTATTTGGGCAGTTGCCCCAAGTTTAGTTAACGTTTAGAAAGGAAGGAAGCTCACTCAGATGCCAATATTAGGTCTAACTAATATTACCAGAGAAGTTAGTGGCTCCAATTTCCCCATCACTGGTGAGAGTGGGATGGCTCTTGCAATATATCTTTAGAAAAGAAGTTCCTAAGACTCGCCTGGGGGGATAAATGGCTTTTGTTGGCCTGAAATTATGTTTCTCGGGCTGCAAAGTCCCATGTCCCTTAACCCAGTCCTGAAAGAGGTGCAGCTGGGGTTCCAGTAGAGCCAGAGCTTCCTTTCCAAATTGCAGCCGGGTCAAGTTCAGCATCGGGCTAATTAAAGTCCATTAATCCATGTGTGGAGCCCACATGGCTATGTGTCACGTGGGTGAATGCAGGAGAGCACACCCCCTACAACAGGAAAGCCAGAAGCCCAGCCTAGGAGAGAGAGAACCAAGAGCCAAGAGAGAATTCCCTTTGCTCGGAAGTTTCACACACACCCCCCTTGCAGTGGCCACGCCTATTCTGGCCAATTACCAGTTCCCAGGTGTGATTGACAGACGGGTGGGCACTTTCCCATGTCACTCAGACCTTATTGGGCACGTATCTAATTTGCCTTTGTTCAATCCCTTCCCTCATCAATCAAGACTTAGAGAGTGTTAAATTAACAAAGCTGTATAAATGGCATGCCTGTATTATCTGGTCTTCCCTTTACTCCTTTCCTGTTAAATAATAACCAGGGTATTATAACCGTATCATAACCACTACCTTCCTAATATAGAGGTCATGTGAAGTATATGATGACTCAGAAAAAAAAAATTAAATAATGTGATCATTAAGGGAAACATGAGACGATCAATTTGTGTAATTAATGAGACTAAAGCTGATCTTCTCTCTATACATAATTCACAAAGAGCCCCATAGGAGGTGAGAGAATTATCTTTTTTTTTTCCACAAAAGAACTCTACAATGAAAAAGGAACTCTAGCCCTGGCTGGCATGGCTCATTTGGTCGGAGCATCATCCCACACACCAAAAGGTTGCAGGCGGGTTCAATTCCCAGTCAGGGGGCATTGAAGCTTTCTTTTTCTTTCTCTCTCTCTCTCTCTCTCTCCCACTTCCTCTCTCTCTAAAAATCAATAAATATACCCTAGGGCGAGGATTTAAAACACACACAAAAAACAATATAAAGACATCACCATTACATATATAAACAGGTGATGAGGACAGGAAAATAAATGCAATACTAAGCAGCTCCAAATCATAGTTTACTGTAATTTATTTGTGGTTACCATTCATTTTCTTAAGGACTGAAACCCTATAAAACCTACTACTCTCTTATTACTGATGACTGAACTGTTTGATCATCAATAAAGAAGAGTTAAAAGAAAAAAAATGTTTTAAAAAAATTTCTACCAGAAAAATGTGTGTCCCTAGTACAGTTGGAATACGTGGCAGATTTAATTCCATAAAGTTATAAAAACCACTAAATGATTTAGAAGTCATTAAAATCCTCACAGCATTCCTGAGTGTCTGAGAAAGGGACACAACCGCACACTACTACATCAAAGCAGGCCTTTAACACCAGCTCAAAAACCACCACTCATACCTTAGTCTCACATTCATACAGATTATAGAAGGTGTTTACAAGCCAGTCATATTCTTTGGAAATAATTTTAAAACAGACCCGGCAATATTACATTAAACCCGTGTCTTTTCATGAAAAGACAAACAATTAATACTTATCTTTCCAACTAACCACACAAAAACTAAAATCGGGTGTCAGGAGTGTTCTTACTAGCAGTAAGCCCTTTGCTTCTTTAACAGTCAAACTGTTCAAAGTGTTTCAAATCACAATCTAAATTGTGAAAGGCTGAGCTTTGGAGAAAAGGGATTCCAGTTAACATTGCTTAAATCTTTTTTTTTTTTAAGAGGCTTATATAATGCCACTCAAATCCCCCCCCCCTCAAAAAAAAAGTCTGTTTAGTACTTTACTTTCTTCGTCATATCTTTTTAAATATTAATATTGTGAAACAGCTTTTGAACTTTTTTGGTATAGTTATAAGCCTTGAATCTATCAATAGTAATCACAGTTTGAGAATCAAGTATTAAGTTTAAACGAGGTATAGATTCCATTAGCATCTTTAAATGCCCTTATGGATTCCAAAGTTACTACAGATAATCCTGAAATCATATCTTCTCTAACTATAAGTCTTTGTACCATAAAATTATCTGGAAACTATCCCTTGATTTTTAAAAGTGAATTATAGTTCTTTTCTAAAAACATTTAGTTCTCTTTCCCATCATTTAGTAAAATAAATAAATAAATAAATAAATAAAGATGTCATTTTGGGTCATGACATAGTGAAAGAAGAAATTAATAATTATAAAAATAGCTAGTATGTATTGATTATCTACCAGGTGCCAGGTACTATAATAAATTGATACATGAACTATCAAATGTAAAGATACAACTCTGAGGAAGGAAGGTACTTTGACCTCCAACTTAAAGATAAAGAAAATGAGGCAGTCACAGCCTCCCACAAATCTGAAAGGCAGAAGGGTAAGCTTGTGAGCCTTTCCCACCCTGAACCGGAACGAGAACACAGTTCCCGGAATAGGAGAGCCCTTTCCCTCTTCCTCAGCATCCAAGGCCTCCTGCGCGGGAGTTGGGACAACTCTCCTGCCAGCACATAGTTGTCTGCCTCCAAAGCAGCCCTGTCACCGACGAGCACCCACCCCAGCGCCAGGGCACCCACCCCAGCGCCAGGGCACCCACCCCAGTGCCAGGGCACCCACCCCAGCGCCAGGGCTATTTCCTCAGACAGCCCCTGTTTACGTCCCGTCGTCGCTTCTCCAAAGAACTTAGCGCCCTCGGGAAGATCATTTTACATACGACAGAACTTGGCTAATCTACTAATTCTTCACATCCAAGTCACTTTTCTTTGTCCGAAACCGCCTTTTCAAACCACCAAAACCCTCGATCGCCCCTCTCCACGGCGATCTGCTTCCCGGGGCACAGCTGCCGGGTACCCTCTCCCAGGTTCGCGGCCGGAGACCCGGGACTTTCAGCTCAGCGCTAGGCGTGAGCATTCAATAGGTCCTCATGAATGAATGGGGGGAAGGAGCGTGGGTGCGGCCGGGAAGAGGGGGGTTGTGAAGGCATTTCACGCGGCTGAGACCACCGCAGGGACGCCCCGTCCGGGGAGGAAGAGAAGGTGGAGACTTGGAAGAACCTGGGGCCCGGGCGAAGGGGCGCCGTCGGTCGGGTGCCGGCTTGGGAAAGCGCGAGCGCTGTCTTTGTGGGTCCCCGCAGCGCGATCGCGGGCCCTGCGCCTCCGCCTCCCACCCGGACCCCCGCCTCCCGCACACCGGAGGCCCGGGCCAGCCCGCCCTCAGGCGCCGAGGCCGCCCCGCGGCGCGCTCCGGCTCACCTGACGCTCCACCAGCAGCGCCGTGGTCTGCATCCTCCGCGAGCCTGTAACCCAACAACACCGCGAGATCAGCTGATTCACGGGGGGCGGGGCCTTCGGCGGCCGCGGGCCAGTAGGCGACGAGCGAGTGGGAAGTGGGCGGGGTCAGAGGCCGACGGTGCCTGGTAGCGATCAAAATTATCCAAGAGGCGTTGCGCACTGCGGAATAGAATTTCAGTAGGTTTGCCTCTCCCTTACCGTGGGGCGGGGGGGCCCCCGGTTCTGAGGTCGATGACGTAACTTGGGGGGCCTCACTACCCCGTTGCTGGTGCTGTGGAAACTAACTCCTGGGAGCAGAGCAATTGGGACCTGCATTCATTGTGTGACCGCCTCACACTGCAGGAATCAGAAGGGTCAGTTTGCTGCTCTTTACAGCGAAAAGGCTAACATCTCTGCAAAGCGCTTCCTCGGGCTGTACCCTAACGGTGGTCTCTTCCGCTCCCGCGAGTGACGTCATCGCCCGAGGCGCGGGTTGGCCCCGCTGTCCGCGGTTTTCACTACTTCGCTGCAACCCCAAAGGACGGAGGCGGGTGGGAGGGAGGGAATGAATTGGCCTCTCCTGCTATTCCCACAAGGTACCCCGCTATTCAATAAGAGTAAAACCTGTTTGCTTTCCGCAGCCACGGCCCCATTGGGACTCAAATCGCACCCGAGACCCCGCATGAAGATTTCCGGGAGCCGTGCGGAAGCTCCCTCTGCTGCGAGGCTGCGTGCCTTGGCTGCACCTGCTGCAAACTTGTACCCGAGCCACCGATGGCAGGTGGGCAGTCAGGGTCCGGAGCTCCTGGCCGAAATGGTCTGTCACGTTCACTGATACCCTCAGCTCAGGGGTCTTGAGCCTCCGCCCGCCTGCAAACCCATGAACCTGTAGCAATTAAACCGACCTCGCCTACTCTACACCAGTGCTGGAAATCACATAACCAGTAAACTGGCATCCGTGCACACCAGCGTGTCCAACTTCAGTCGGGTCTTCCATGGGACCGGGCAATCTTGTTAAGCCTAAAACAGTCTTTTCCAAATTGCTACTCAGATATTCTTCTATTCCCGGCCCCCGACTATTCCCAACCCTCACTCTTCTAACTTCTCACTGAATTCTATCCACCCCAGCCCTTTGGTAAAAATGAAACACTCTGTCTCCTACGTTTCTGAAGAAAATGAGACCACTGTGAAAGAATTTCCTTAGCTCCCACCAGCCACTATTACAAAACCTACCTGAAGCCCTTCCTTTCCTTCTGAGAAGAGGTGTTCTGTCCTCTCAAGGTGAATCTGGCCACTTGAACCCCAAATCCCTTCCAATCCCTTTAGAGACTTTGATATTATCCCTTCCTTTTGTGCATTTCAATCTCCACCTCTCTTACTCTTATTCTTCACTATATGAGCCTGTTCCTGCCTAACCCATCTTTTAATATATTTTTCCTCTGACCTCATTTCTTTTTTAAAAAAATATATATTTTATTGATTTTTTACAAAGAGGAAGGGAAAGAGATAGAGAGTTAGAAACATTGATCGGCTTCCTCTTGCACACCCCCTACTGGGAATGTACCTGCAACCAAGGTACTTGAATCAAACCTGGGATCTTTCAGTCCACAGGTCGAGGCTCTATCCATTGAGCCAAACCGCTTAGGGCTCTGTCCTCATTTCTTTAGCAACCTCCTTTTCTTTCCCACTCTTTCCTATCCCTTTCTATAATCTTTACTTTCTTGTCTACCGTCACCAGTAGTCACCTCCTACTTTTGGAATCTAATGAATCAGTCTAAGAATCAAAACATTTTATGCAGCTATTTAAATGGATGAATGAATCTATCTGTATTGATATGGAATGATCTAGAAGTTAAAATTGTTAAGAGAAAAAAATACGAGATACTGAGTCATGTGTATTGTATTCCAGTAATTGTGTATGTGTGACTTTTAGACAGAGAGACAGAGACAGAGAGAGAGAGAGACATGTGTCCTCTGAAAGGACACATTAAAACATGACTAGCCATGGCTGGGCAGCTCAGTTGGTTAGAGCATGCTCCTGATACACCAGGATTGTAAGTTTGATCCCTGGTCAGGGCACATATAAGAGGCAACCAATGAATGCATTAATAAATAGAATAACAAATTGATGTTCTTTTCTGCTCGCTCAAGCCAGTTTGGTTCAGTGGATAAAGCACCGGCCTGCAGACTGAAGGGTCCCAAGATATATTCTGGTCAAGGGCACCTGCCCAGGTGGTAGGCTCGATCCCCAGTAAGGGGCGTGCAGGAGGCATTAATCAATGATTATCTCTCATCATTGATGTTTCTATCTCTCTCTCCCTCCTTCTTCCTCTCTGAAGTCAATAAAAAATATATTTTTAAAAATTGATGTTTCTGTTTCTCTCTCTAAAAACATTAAAAACACACACTTTTAATGCCAAGTGACTAATGCCAAGGAGAATTGGAAACAAAAGTGGAAGAAAAACTCACTTTTTATTCTATGCAATATTGCACTGCTTGAACTTGTAACTTTACAAATATGGTTTGAATATACTTTTTACTTATTTTTTGAAACATGAAAAAACTATGTAGTCTAATCTTCCTTTCTCTCTTATTGTTCTAGACTTCTGGGACACACTCCTGGGTTTTCCTCCTACACTTTTAGACTCTTTCACTTGTCCCTAAAATTCTCAGATTAAATAAGTATTTAATCCACACTTACACTGTGCGGGGCACTGTTCTAGGCACTAGGGAGACATGATAACGAAAAGGAACAGGCAAGAGTCCCTGTTCTCATGGAATGTGCACTCTGCTGGTGTGGACGACAGTCTCCAGAGATGGCGCCATCGGTTCCTCCATTCATGTATGCAAACGCCACTCTTGGCAGCCAGTGATGGAATCTATTTCTTCTTCCCCTGAACGTGGCCTAGGCTTGTGGTTTTTGTCATTGTTGTTTTTTAACTAATGGAATGTGGCAGAAATGAAGTTCTGGGGCTAATGAATTAATTCCTTAAATAAACTGGCAGCTTCGAGATCTCCCTCTGAGAAGCCAGCTGCCGCCCTAAAGAAGCTTCAGCAATACCCCAGATTGGTAAGAGAACGTGTAGAGATAAGCCACCTGGAAGTGCATTCAGGTGCCAGAATGTAAGTGAAGCCCTCAAGTTCCTTCCAGGTCAGCCCAGTTCCTGGCCAAGTGCAGCTGAAGGATTGGCACCAGCGAATGCCAAGTGGTGCAGAACAGCTTCACCAGGACCTGCCTGAATTCCTGCCTGATGCTGGTGCTAGCTCCAGTCTTCTCACTGCAGGAACTAAAAAGTGATTCTCCCACTTTTTTGTTCTTAAAAGTCAGATAACAAGGATCCTCCTAGACTCAAAGGTCAAAAGGATTGGATGCCCTGGAACAATCCAGGCGTGAGTGTGTGAGAGTGTGTGTGTGTGTGTGTGTGTGTGTGTGTGTGTCTGAGTGAGTGTGAGTGGAGGGGGGCATGCAGCCTATGGAAGGCAATGATAGCCTAATTTAGATAATATTGCAATACAATATATTATTTGCAAAATTCTTCACATGTGCATGTTATCCTTAAAACAACTCATGATGAGTATAATTATTCCTAAAATACACACGAACAAACTGAAGCCCACTGACTTTTCCAGGTTAACCCAACTACAAGTGGCAGAGGGACCCACACCCAGGTCTCCAAATCTAGATCTCCAAACTCCAAATTCTCATTCCACCACACCCCCCTCCACACACACACACACACACACACACACACACACACACTTGTACTCCCACGGGATCAAGGTGGTGAATAGAGGATTTAGGGCTAAGATAAAAAGTTAGGTTCAGCTGAAACCGGTTTGGCTCAATGGATAGAGCGTCAGCTTGGGGACTGAAGGGTCCCGGATTCGATTCTGGTCAAGGGCATGTACCCTGGTTGCGGGCATATCCCCAGTAGGGGGTGTGCAAGAGGCAGCTGGTCAATGACTCTCATCGATGTTTCTAACTATCTCTCTCCCTTCCTATCTGTAAAAAATCAATAAAATATATATTTTTTAAAAAGTTGGCTTCAAAAAAGAGATGATAGAGAGTAACAGAAGTAATAGGCTCAGTAAAGGCTGGTATTAGAAACTAAGACTTGTGGAGGGCAGTGGACAGGGATGTGCTCAAAGTGGGGTCACAAAAACAAGAAGTAAACACTGGTTCTAGGCCCCCATCCTCCGTGTGTGTGTATATGTGTGGGATGGGGGTTGCTTCACACACATATAAATGCTACTATTTACTTTAACAGCCATGTGTTAGGAGTCTGAAAGGAGCATAGATAAACTTCATACTCTCAGAGAATGCATTTATTAACTTGCAAGGAGAACCGTGAAATTAGTCCTGAGGGAGCACAGTTCAGACAATCAGATCCAGGAGCTCAGCCTCTCAGGAGATGGGGTAGAGGAGGGGAGAACCAGAGAGGTAAGGAAAGGTTCAGAGAAAAGATGGAACCTCAGCTAGGCCTTGAAGGAGGGGCAGAGACCGCCAAGGGAAGAGCGTGTCAGATGAGAAATAGAACGGCAAGGAAGGTCGTTGGACAGTGAGGCTACTGGCGCGCTGCCATGATGGTAGGTGGATGATTAGGGAATTGTGATGGGCAGGGAAAGGTATAGTCAGGGTGTCAGAGCCAAGCCCAGGAATGTAGACGGATTCCATTGGGAGTTGGGGGTGGGGGTGGGGGTGTCCTTTGAGGATATTTAAACAGAAATTATCAAAAAGGTGTTTTAAAGGAAAATATTTTGGGCTTTTAAAGTGTAGTTGTAGCCTGTTATTGTATTCTATCTAACCATTGAAATAGAGATTGTGTGTATGTGTGTGTTACACTTTTTATTCTTACTGAGTTCGATTACATTTCTCTATCCCACCTTAAAAAGGGGAGTTTAAGCAATTTAGACCTTTGTTTTCAAAACTGGATGCTGAGATTCCGAGTGGTTGGGGTTTTAGAACAGGGGCGCCCAACTCTCTGCCATCTGGGAGCACTTTCCTATGTGGCTGAACTTCATGCAAGAAAATAATGAACCAAATGAGGAGCAAAGACCTGCTGGTGGC